GGTCAAAGTAGGAGTAATCATTCTATGGGGTAAACTATACATGCTCATACTGATTAGATCACTCTATATAGATAAATTTGGAGAGTTTAACGCTTGAACTGAAAAACAACGGTTTTCAAAAGTAATAGATCTAGCTTTCTTAAAGGATTTGAGACGAAAATAGGTGAACAAATATTAAAAGCTACAAAGGCTTAAATGACTGGTTTGTCAATTTTTAGGTCACGTAAAGGACATCGCTAATTTCGTAAAGATACTGATTTGTGAAGGAATGAAATCTTTAAAATTATAAACCCAATCTTTATAAATAATAACAGATGTTTAGTTTCATATGATGGTTAGACTACCCTCAGACAGTATCAACTCGATGATGTATTCGTTTAGATTAAAGTCACTTTGAAGAAAATATTGCCAGTAAAATTTATTTGATATTAGTCTTCATTCGGAAAGGCCGTCAACTGCAGAAACATTAAAAACTAGAGAGCACTGGGAAGCTGTTTCAGCCACAGCATAAGATGAATACTAAACTATATGTTTCATAACAAACACCAGTATAGGACGAAACAAATATCCACTGTCCCCAAGTTTTTATTAGATTTCCACTCAGTATCACAAATTATGGTGTAAGTTAATTGTAAAACGAATAATCGACACAAAATAGAAAATTAATAAAAAATTATATATTAATTCAATGATTACAGTTAAAGTGATCAAAACAAGCGAACTTTCAATGAAAATAAACAAATTTTCATAGAATATGGTTACCAGTGGAATTCAGAACTAGAGTTTCACTCCGTTCGGGACTCATGAGGTAGATGTACTTGCATCTTAGAGTTGATGTTTACCTCGGGGCTCGAACCCAGAGCCGTTCGCCTCAGAAAACATCACGTTAATGAATCCAGATAGTCATTCACTGACGAGCCCAACATAGGACGGTACGCGTCATAGATCCTACTACTATCTATATTCCATTTACTCTTAAGAAAAATTGTATCATGATTTCTATATTAAGGTAATCCGCATAAGATGCATATATGCCAACCGAGGCTGGTCAAAATTTAGCCAATATACCAACAACGGCATAATCCAAACTATTGAAGATCAAATTACAAGAATTCAAAGTCAAATATGTTTTGGATAAACAACCTAGTAGTCTAGTATTTATCAATAAAACAAACTTTATTGTAAATACTGAGTAAGCATGTTATGCAAGAATATGACAATGAGAGTAATTCAAGGCACACCAATGATTTCACAACTGAGGCAAAAATTTATTGATTTAAAAGTGTTTTTCAAAGATTGTGCTATTGTAAATTGGAAGGAAATAAGCTTGGTTAAGAGGCAGTTTTATAGTATTTTCCGATATCTACTGGTTAATTAAACGTCTAATTAAAATAAACATCATTTTTCAAATAAGTCATAAGCGTACAAAAGTTTTGTTTTCTTCATTTACTTATTGAATACTTAACTGATGATTAGTCACACTATGGTGACTTATTTTACTAGACTGATACATTTACATTTTAACTAATTTTTAAATATTTAGATAAGGCTCTTAATTAAAAGTGATTCAGAAACTATTGAGTTTTAAGTACCTTTTAATTATATAGCGAGTGGTTTTTTCACAATAATATACATGAACTATGAAATTTGAATATACTTAACAAGGTATCTGTGGAGCTAACCATATTATTATTCAGTCATTAACATAAGATGGTGTACGAAGCTGGATCAGTTTAATTTGCCACACCTCACATTAGCACGTCAGGCAATCAACTAGATGAGAACCATAAGATGGGAAATAATACAAAGTGACATAAATCTAAGCACGACAACTACTCTTTGAAAGAAGCAAAAGAAAAGTTAAAAAATAATACACAACTCAATATTTAGAAGAGAATTGGTGCAACTGAACTACTTTGATTGAGTCCAGACAGTGTAATCTAACCTCTCTAACTAATGATTACGAGTATCGTGTGGCCCCCAGCCAAAAAATCGCATATACTGGTGTGGATTAGACCAATAATTAGAAACTTTCCAGTTAGTAGGATGTCCGAAATCAAAGTATCACTTAGTGGTGAAAAAACTACAGTTCTTTATGTATTATGACAAACTCAAATATTTAGCAGGAAAGGTAGACGTAAAATAAGGCGAGATTATATTAGTGTACAGACCAATTAGCATTTGAAAAATTGAATGCGTTTACATTTATTATAAAGTTACTATTGGAAAAAATATATTAGCTAATCAATAGTGAAATATTTCATACCACATAAAGAAAACAAGCAAATAATTCCCTAGAAGAATGAAAAACACCAGATAAAACAGTTCATCCCTTAATCAACAGATTGATACTAGCATAGGTTAATAATATTACGGCTCAACAGGATTACAGTACAAACAATGCCCACTGAAAAACTCCCCTCATAATGGTTATCATAGACAACTACTCAAGAAAAATTTTTACAATATTATGGACACCATATATATAAAATGTATATCAACGTGGTAGAAATTATGGCACAAGAACTAAACCAATCGACTGTATACCAACCCCGACCGTTGCTGTTACCTTGACGTGGCGGTCGGGCTTGCCTACCGCGATGAACCAATTGAGCTATACTGGATGGAACAATCGTCCCTTAAGGTCCTACCATCCCAGGCACGTCGGTTGAAGAGCGGGAAAACTAAAAGCAACAAACCCGAAGTCCGAGGGCGATGTCATACTGCTGACTGCACAGAGGTGTGACGGTAGTAAGATGTTTTCTTTAGACAACCAGTATGACAGCGATGCTGTCTCCTCACAAGGAAGGGTTGTGTTAAAAATGATCGACCTTAGAAATGCTCACCTCGCCTTATCACACAAATTTCCGTCTCCGGAGGTAAGGTCTCAACAAGTACGGAGCTAACACGAAGATTACACACAAAAACGTTGTGTGTGACTGACCTTAAGCAGTTTCCCATTGGTCACTGCGGTCACGCTCTGAGGTCTTTAAGACCACCTCGAACTCAGTTTCCTTTTCAGGTTCGTCTAGAAGAACCCTTCCACGGTGTGGGAAACAGGGAAGTGAGAACCGGCCTCAAACTTCTAACAGTACTCAAAACCACTGCTTTTTTTGTAACCGGTGTAGTTTACTTTTATCAAGCACTCATTTTAAGCATGAAGAGAGATATCGTCTAACATGGTGATCACCTGCACCAAACCAACGATGGACTCAAATAGACCATATTGCCATCAGTCATCGTTGGAGAAGCTCGATAGAAGATTGTCGCTCATACTGGAATACATGTTTAGACTATGATCACGCTTCGATACGAGCACGCATTTGTTTGCGCCTCACTGGACGCAGCAAAACTACACTACGAAGACCCATTAGAATTGAAGTGGGTGATGAGAAAGCCAAAAGTAAGTTCCAGGTACAACTGAGTTCATATCTAGGCAGTTCTGTAAACGAGTCTGACCTAGATGTTACTTGGAAAGATATACGAACAGCTGTGGAAACAGCAGTAACATCTATTAGTAATTTAAATCATAGGGTTCCAAAAAACCAGTGGATTTCTTCTAAGTCTATTTAACTGATGGATTCGCGTAAACTCATCCCATCCGGCTACGAACACGATGAAGAACAAAAATAAATCAGATCTAAGTTGACCAAAACTCTAAGGAACGACCGTGGGCAGCGAAAGCAAAAGAGATGGAAAAGGCAATGGGTGTAGGTAACACAAGACAGCTTTTGAACTAATAAAAGAAACTTGACTTAAGAAATCAAGTGTAAGTTAGACAAACCCTGGAAAAGACGACACTCTTATCTGCTCTCAGCCCAGACGTTTAGAACGAAAGGCACGGATGTTCGGGATGCGTTTCTCCCCTTCTAAGTACAAGTTGTTGCTTCGGGACTGGTTTGCATCAACATTTGAATTAAGGATAGGGAGTGAAGTAGTCGAACGCGTCGACAACTTCACTTATCTTGGAAGTGTGATCAGCCCTAATGGGTTGGTGTCTGACAAAATCTCAGCACGGATTCAAAAAGCTCGTTTGGCTTTTGCCAACTTAAGTGACCTATGGCGAGATATCTTTCTGTCGATAAAAAGACGAGTATACTGCGCAGCAGTTTGCTCTCTTCTACTTTACGGCTGCGAAAAGTGGTCATTAAGGGTGGAAGATTCTCATAAGTTACTAGCATTTTATTACAGATGTCTTAGAAATATTGCCAGCATCTGCTGGGATCACAGGGTAATTAATGATGAGGTTAGACGCACGGTATTGGGGAATGATGGTAAATCAGTTGGTGAAGTTGTGAATCTTTATCGACTGAGATGGTGGGGTCACGTGTTACGTATGCCTGAACACCGATAACGACGACGCGCGATGCTGACTGGTGTTGGAGACGGGTGGAACAAAGTTAAGGGCAACCAAACCAAAACGTGGCATCAGTGCTTGAAGTCACTAACTTCTAGTCTTAGCTATGTTGGTAGATGCATACTACTTGATTGGGGTCCGCGTGACTATCGTAACTAATGGTTGGAGACTCTGGGTGACATGGCTTGGAATCGATCACTATGGCGTAAGTGTATACATTCTATGCCTTTCCCTAAACTGTGAGTTTAAAGCTACTTTATACCTTTCTTTCTACGGACTAATTCTTTCTTCCCGTATTGTATCCCTATACACAATCTTTCTTTTGCATTACTATAATAATACCATTAGAGTAACTACTTCTATGAATTTGGTGTTCATCTTGTTGTGCTGATGAGGTATGGCAACTTGGACCGATGGATATATGTGCCTTGTCCTACGTTGTAACTGACTGACTGTATGCCAAAAGTATTGACATTTTGAAGCTTCAATCTGAGAGCTAATTGCTGTATTCAAGCTAGTGATTATAAAACAAAAAAGAAAAACTTGTTCACTAGCAGATGTCTATTTTGCAATGATGCTTACTATATTTATGCACCTAAATGTAACGAGATTCGAGCTGTCAAAGATAAGGACGAAATATTACCTCATATATTGGTAGCGTATCTGAGTTCCACATCTTGATTTGTTCATCACAAGTATCGACAACAGTAACTTGAATCTCCGGACAGTAATGAGCTATAATTGAAAGTGTTGAACCTCCAACATAACCTGCACCAAGACAGCACACTTTTGACAGCATAATGTCTGGAATACAAACAACTGAAATCAATAAAATAGTAATTGATATTAAGTGGTAAAATAATTAGTCCCGTTTTTCTTGTCACAAACAGAATATGATCCCATTAAACCTATATGCAATGTTTTAAAAAGATAATCTTCTGGGAAGCAAATATTGAACAAGCTTTTCTTTGGGTTATATGAATATTTATTTATGACTGTTCAACAATACTTGATATAAGATATATGTAGCTAAATAAAGTTGAAGGATGGAAAAGGCATTATAAGCAAAGATCTGAAAAATATATGTTATAACGTCGACTACTTCCTACGTATTATTATTCAGGACCGTTTGTAAGATGATCACTATTAGCATTATATTGTTGCCATATTTCGCCATCGATCTCAAGTTAATGACGTGTTATCTAACAATATTCTATTCTCTACTTACATACAAACTAACTATCACAACAACCCGCAAAATACAAACAATTTTTCTAATAATTCCCTAAGTTCTCACAAATTGTATTTTGACCTATTATAATACATAGTAGTACTAAGTTTAAATAACTCGATTCTTGATTGTGATGTTTTGAAAGTATCGACAATTACCATTTAAATGAACAGCAGTTTTTCTAAGAACTGATTTGAAAATCAATCCGTGAATATGAGGTGATATAAAGCATTATGTTTAGAGCTAAGAAGCAGGTAAGTCCATTCACTCCACCAGCTACCTTCCCCATCGTTTACAGTTTAGAATAATTAACACAAAAGACAAAATCTGTATGATTACGGAAAATTGATCATATAGGATTTTTACATTATTCATTGACTTGTTCATCATAGTATTCTCATCACACTATATCAGTTCTAAGAAGTAAAGCATAAAATAGTGTCAGGTAGATTAAGTGACAAGTTTATGGACTATGACCAGAGATTTATTAGGTAAAATTGACCGCTTCCATGAGATTAATCATAAAACCTGTTGTTAGATACTGTAAAAAGAGGACAAAAGTCACTAAGTTGGTGCGCATCCAGACAGCAACATAAAAGCTAGCGGTTTGAAAGTACTCTAGCGGTAGAAAAGTGAAACCATTGCTAAATTATGCTAAACATAAATATACAGACAGAAAAGGATGAGCATAAAGTTATCGCAAGGAACAGGTGGGTAATAACAATCACGTAACATATTTGTCAAAATAATTCATCTAAGAAATTGATTGTTTTGAGCCCTACGTAATTAATTTTTGAGACGCAAAATCGATAGATTACTTGCCGTTTTTCATTAAAATAAACGAAATGATCGACACAGAAGTTAGATGCGGCTTACTTGCTATGATCAAAATCGAAGATAATCTATGAGATTATGCTGCCAAGTCAATCAGGATCATAGTAATAACGTTCAGATTTAGGGAGTAAGAAAACATTGTTTTCTATTTACCTTATGAATACCACTGTGGGATCTACGTTTACTCGATATTGATAAAATACCACCATACGGCGACAATAAAAGTGATAAAATGTGTCGAACACTCGCTAATAATACTGATTTGACCCAAACTATATGTGACCAAAAATTTGTCCCCGCTCACTTTTTCTAAAGCAAACTTTTAACCAAATAATTTAGAAACGATAAGTTTGTAGTAGTAGTTTAAATCTGATTCCTTTTTGATCGTACGTACTGTCTATACTCGTATGTAATAAATGACTTATCCGCGTTGGTGAATAACAGAGTTAAATAAGTCAAATACGAGAATGGATTTAGAATACATATAATTTCTACACTCATTGGTCTGGTCAGGGAATCAGAGTGATGAAGCAAATAGATGAGAGCTGAACGAAGCAAAAATAATGCGTATTGGAGATGGCTGGGAAGCCAACTCGCTATGAGCAAGCACTACTCAATATTTATAATCAGACAAAAATAAATGACAGACATGTGATGGATAAGATACGAAGTGTGCATACACATACGCTCATATAAGAAGTAGTCAAAGTTAATAAGCTAATAATTAACAAGATCAAAATATAACTCAATGTATAGGTGAATTGGCTTGGTCGGAAACTAAAATAAAGTATTATGGGCTTAACATATAAGCTGATACTACAAGTTCACAACAAAGATATCAAATTTAAAAAGGATGCAGGCATATGCTAGCATGAACAAACAGATTAAAATAATATTCATGGAGCATAACCAATTTTATATCACAAACTTTCATCAGCTGGAAGCGGCCTAAGGTTCCACTAGTATTTATAACAACAGCGTCTCGCGTATGAGCGCAATGAAGCCAAAAGTCAAGAGAAACAGAAATCCAGGCCACAAACCTCGAAGTAGGCTACACACAACGGTTAAGAAGATATCCAGCAAGATAAATATGCCACGAATTATGTAGATTATTATGTAGATGCATTTACATGGTGAGCAACCATAGGTGTTTATTAATACTCACTATTATTGTAGGGTTTCAAGTAGGTATATTTTGAGACATTCAATAAGCAAGTAGTGTGATGAAGTTTGAAATTCAGTTATAAAATGAACTGAGACGACAGTAACTTACAAATTAACCCCTAGACTTGATGTGTCAGTTATCACAGTTACTCTTGAAAACTTCGAACCACGCGTTCGTCCTTGAGGTCAAAGACAAACTGGATTTGAACTATTTCAAAACAGCGAATGCAAAACAGTTCGGAAGCATTAGTTACAGGAACATTTACACTCAAACAATAAATATAATCACGCTAAAAATTGAATATAAAGCTTAATTTACACAAACAAAGATATCTTTAATTTGTTGTCATGCAAGATTGAAGTTTTAATTTTCAAATGTTTGGGTGTAAGACCCTCGTGTCGTCATGCAAATGCCACGTGAGTCGACGTCTTCCGATGAGAACCTTCGCGTCTCTAAGAACGAACGTTTCTTGAGAACAAAAACTTTCTTCAATCTGCAGGGATTAGGATTGAAGGTCAATCGACTATTATTAATCCTTGCAATTTGTACTGCATTGAGGATCCAATCTCACTTTGAATGTTTTAAATGAAGAAGCTGATATTAAGTATTCTGGTAGAGAATTCCTGTAATTCACTAAGTAGTGAGAGAAATTGAACTCCAGGCGTAAGCGATAAAGTATCTTGCAATGGTAAATGAATCCACAAAATAAATAGCTCTGTAAACGTTAGACACTGTATGCAAATCACATTAGTTTTATTGGATTTATCTGGCTGACGGTGCTCGGTCATGCATCCGCACCGGATCACGAGTGATAACGACTTGCTCAACATCACCTGCAATCGTTTGCCAGATTAGATCAGTCGATCCACGATATATTCATAGCCTATCATATATATCTTCGAACCTCCTCGCTTCTGTCTTTTGATTTCATTTGGTGGGTACGATCCATAATAGATGGTACTGGTTAAAACGTTGTCGAACTCCGGATATTTCTGGTATCTTCAATGTCAATATTTTGAACCGTGCTCTATTCCTCAGAGTAGGATTATAAAGTGGCAAACGATCTATTTGTGGTGTTCACCATCAAAATACGTTTGGCAATTGTCGGTGTAAAATTGCTCGTTAACGGTTAAAACAATCTTTGCTAAATGAGAACGTTGGTTATCAAGCTTCATAATTTGAATGTTACCCAACTGTCCCATCTAAGACTCCATCACGACGCCTATATGATAGCTTGAAGTATTCGACTTATTGTAATTAGGAACTCACAAAACAGTGCAACTTAAGCCAAATAAAACTAGGTGGGCACAAACGAAGGTATTGTATCTAGGATTCGAAATAGGCGAGTAATCAATTACAAAGGAATCATTAGTTCGTACAAATATCATACTAACACACCTTAGTTTAGTTAAGAATCAAATGTATTGTTCAGTTCACAAATCTCTTAATCATTTATTCAAGTGGTTTTACGTCGAATAAATTTCAGAGATATATAAAACAAGTATTTGTAGGGTTTAATTGCCTCCACCAGTATCAAATAGAAACGAAACGTCTCGTTATCGATCAATGACTAAATGTATAATAATATCATTGTAAAATTTTAAGTCTAAGACTAATTCGCTGCGGTTATTAATGTTTTATACTATATACATTGATTATTCATCTGTTTGTATAAATATACATCAAGTGTCTCTAAACCAGAATCATTACCGGACAGCGTCGCCGTATTCTCAAACAGGAAGATCCGTGAACTCTCTCTGTGGTGGCAGCCGAGTAGAGTCTTCCCATTTCTACCCTAGCGAGTAAATGTTTAAGTTTACCTTGAACCACACAGGTTTCATCATTCAATTGTCGTTAACTCCTGTTTAAGTTTTCTATATTTTTCGCCTTCTACAACCTGCGCCTTTGCACTTCTTCCGTAACGGATTCAAAGAAAGGTCTCTGTTCTTTACGAACTTCCTCTGTCGTTAGAGTTTAAGTTAAAATTTATTATCTTTATCACGGCGGAATGGTTGAATAAAAAATATTTATGCACTTTCTCTAATTAAAGCCTCGAAAAGATAGCTAAGCAGTCATTGAAGTTGAGTGATACATTTGTAGTGGATGTCGAGTCGTGGACGGACTATGATCACCACTACTATTCGATTACGCGTACAAATATGACTTGGTTCCCTTGATAGCCCGTAAACCAGAAGGCTTTACTAGTCCAGATCAAGTATATTTATTGGCGATCTCGTGGTATCGAAATAATACCGAGACGTGCCAAAGAGTACAAGCGAACAAGCAGTGCGTGAGCAAGCTCGAACCAAACCAGGCGGTATATGGAACAAGAAGTGAAACGGATACAGTTAAACAAATACAGTAAAACAATCTCTGGTACAATTGGTTACAATAATAATAATTGTTTCTATTATTCCAATCGTGTTCTTATCGAGACTGGCCGGTCACTACAGGAGCCCCCCGCTAGAAAGGATTTACACTTTCGATACGTAGTGGTTTCATTCGTGGGACTGATCGCGAAACGTGCAATTGTAGGACGAAAACGTTGGCAGAACAGGGAGTGATCGTTGATCCTCGAGTTGCCACCAAAAGTCTTTGACGTAGAAAGGTACCAGAAGGAAAGTGTTGTATTGATTGCTTGGATTAGCATGCTACACCAGAGTGGTTTGTATCCAGAATCTGAAAGTTGCGTTCGTAGAGGTCCGGACCAGAAACGCTGCAGACGTAGGACGAAACCAGATTGAGCCAAGGAACCAGATGCGACCAGGATAACCATGTTCGGGACCAAATGTATACCATACGTATTTGGAGCCAGAGAGGTCGACTGAGTGCGTTGACTAGAGCGTGGGTGATCAGGCCAGCTTTCGCGAAAGTTGACTGAAGTCGACGATACCGTAACAGCGATGGTCGGAGGCGTAGGCTCGGGGGTAAACAAAAAAAATGATAGAAAAATAGAAAAGTGTAGCTTTCTTGTAGTATAGGGGCAGATTCCTATACTGTATCCGTAGTTGGTTATGAGGTTAGTCGAGAAAGCGTACGGGTAAGCGTACTCGGCGACCAGAACGTGAGACGGTAGTCTCGTTCGAACCTCGTGAGCCTGCAATCTCATCCGCAGTCAAGAGCGGTGTGGTCTGCAGGTCTGGACGTGAGACGGAAGTCTCGTCCGTAGATGGGGCAGATGACACGTGCTGTTGACTGGGACGTGAGAATGAGGTCTCAGGTGCATCTAGCGTGGGATCCGAAGTAGATGTAGAAATCTCGCTAGAAGCTCTGATGGGTCTAACATTGGGTCTCGGCTTATCAGGTATAGCACTGTCATCGACGTGTGCTGGCTTGAGACGATCAATGCTGACTGTTTCGATGCGGCCACGTCGATCAACCTTGAAGGTCTTTTCGTGACGGGAAATCACGTGAAAAGGTCCTTCGTAAGGCTGTTGTAGAGGTTTGCGTACCGAATCTACTCGTATGAAAACATGTGAACAGGTAGACAACTCTCGAGGGAGAGCGACCTGTCGATGTTGTATACGAGTTGACACCGGAGTCAGTGTTCGCATGAATGCAGACAGTCGTTGGACGTAGTCTGATTCGCCGAACTTAGTGCTGCTCCGTGGTGTGAAAAATTCCCCAGGCAGACGCAATGTCGTGCCGTAAACAAGTTCAGCGGCGGAACATTGAATATCTGCCTTTAGACTCGTTCTGATTCCCAGGAGGACGAGCGGTAGGGTTTCGTACCAATTGTTGTTTTCGTGTGCTCGAAGAGCACTTTTAAGTTGGCGATGAAACCGTTCAACTAAACCGTTTGATGCTGGATGGTAGGCGGTAGTGCGTATGTGTTCCGTACCAAGCAGCCGTGTTAGTGAGGAGAATAATGCGGACTCAAATTGTTGTCCTCGGTCAGTCGTGACAGTCGAGGGACAACCGTACAGAGCTATCCATCGTTCTACGAAGCGGTGAGCAACTGTCTCCGCCGTAATAGACGTGATGGGAATAGCTTCAGGCCATCTTGTGAAACGATCAATGCATGTGAGTATGTGATCATACCCGTGCGATGGTGGTAATGGTCCTACAATGTCTATGTGAACGTGATCGAAGCGAGCATCAGGCGTAGCGAAAGTGCCAATAGGGGCAGCTACGTGCCTGTGCACTTTTGATCGTTGACATTGTAAGCATTGCTTTACCCACATACGGACATCTTTATTCATGGACGGCCAGACGTATCGTGCAGCGATGAGGCGTAAAGTGGCTGCGATACAAGGATGAGATAAACCATGAAGGGCATCAAAGACGAGATGGCGATAAGCGGAGTGTACGATGGGTCGAGGGAGGCCCGTGGAAGTATCGCATAGGATAGTACCAGAGCTAGTAGCTAGGGGTACTTCCCGGCATTGAAGGGACGTAGACTGTTGTGCTTCCGTGCATGAAGTATCGTTTGCTTGGGCGGCGGCCATAGCAGGTAGATCGAGCACTGGCAAAGTAACTGCATTCAGTTGGATACGTGATAAAGCATCAGCAACACAGTTCGACTCGCCTTTGACGTGACGAAGGTCTGTCGTGAACTGGGAGATATAGTCCAAATGTCTGCACTCTCGTGGTGAGTAGCGGTCAGACTTGGTATGCAGAGCATACGTTAAGGGCTTATGGTCGGTGAATAAGATGAAATTACGACCTTCTACAGCGTGCCGGAAATGTTTGATGGCGCAGTAGGCTGCTAGCAGTTCGCGACCAAAAGCGCTATATCTCGTCTCCGTGGGAGTGAGGCGTCGTGAGAAAAATTCGAGGGGCTGCCAACTACCGGAGATATCCTGTTGCATAACGGCTCCTATGGCGAAATCCGATGCATCAACCGCTATACTAAGCGTGGCTGATGGGTCAGGATGCACGAGAAGTGTGGCTTGAGCTAGGGCCGTTTTGATATCTGAAAATGCAGTACGTGCGGCGTCGTTCCATTCCAGTTTGCGTGGATTACCGCGAAGTAAATCAGTTAACGGTCGTAACTGTTCTGCCGCGTGCGAAATGAAGCGTCGGTAGAAGTCGACCAAACCGAGAAATGCCTTCAGTTCCTTGAGTGTGGACGGTACAGTGTACTCCATTATAGTACGTACTTTATCCTCACAAGGTAGAATACCCTCATGCTTAATAACATGACCTAAGAATTTTATTTCCTTCTTCCCGAGTTCACACTTGTCGGGGTTGACTATTATTCCATTATCCGAAAGGCGCTGGAATAGTAGCGTCAGGTGTTGATAATGTTCATCTACGTTTGAT